TGTTCATGAAAGAAGAAGCACAAAATCGGTACTTGAAGAATATCAATCAGCTTTGCTCTATCGGCATCATCTTCCGGCGGCTTACCAAAGATTGTAGATGTCGGCCATCCATGCTCGTTAAAATACCTAATACGTTCCAATACCGATTACCGAACTCCAACAAATGCATTTCGTTCATAATTTATACTTAGAAGCAATGCTTCGTAATAAAGATAAAATGCACAAATTTGAGAGAGGGGAGACCATCTCATTTTGGGTTTTCCACCGCCGATTCGGTTCTGGAGATCATCATAGAACTGGACATCCCAAGAGAGTGGCTGAGATGGACAAAAAGGGGAACATACATTGAAGTGAGAGAAAGCATCATTATAGGCCTGCAGGTGGAGATGCTCGGACTCCAGCATAACGCCATCGCAGTCAAAGAGAAGCGCGTCTAGCGCACGCGTCGTCGCCAAAACGGACATTCGTTTTCCACGAAATGAGATCGGCTGGGTATGCAGGCTGGAAGCACCCCTCGCGAGTCGAAGAGGTAGTAAGAAAGGAGAGTGGGGAGTCGAGAGAGAGGGGTTGTATGGAGGTGGGAGGAGTACCGCACACGCCACCATAGCTCAGACGTCCACTCACAACGCCGGCGACAGTTCGGGAATTTGACGGACAGGTGCGTGGCTCTGAGAGAGAGATCGAATTTGCAGTTGCAGCAGATATAACGACTAACAGCCATCCAATTTTCGCTTCATATAGTTGGACATCCAATCATACGATGCTGCCTTAAAATTTTGTCTGGCTAGATTAATAAAGTAAAAATTGTGTGATTGAGATATGTGCAGAAGATAGAAAATTAACTGGGATAATTTTTTTTTACTAAAATTGACAAAGTTAGTGAGACATCAAAAAAAAGAAAGTTGACAAAATTTTAAGGGACGGAAGTAGTAATTATATAAAAAAAAATATACTCCTTATTACCTACTTAAGCTTGTCAATCATCTAATGAGATACAAAACCACAAATTCTTGCATTCACGAGTAATTGTATATCAAAAAATTCTCTTTGTACACTCCACTTTTTACACGCCGATCAAATTATTTTTGTATAGACAATTTGACTGGCGCTTTATGAAAAAAACGGATTTTCACATAGACAAAAAAAATCTATATCACAGACATTTTAAAATTATCGTTTAAAAATTGTCTGTATCACAAACATTTTATGAAAAATTCTTGTCCAAAATATCTGTAATAGAGACAACTTTTAGCATAGTTTGATTATTAGTTTCCATAACAGTGAAGCAATTATAAATTAATACATTTATTTATCTACTTCCTACATGGATTTGTCACAATTATAAATTAATAAAATATATTTCATTCATCCTGCTAAGATTGCCTCATCTTTCATTTTCGGTCTGTCCCAATAAAATTGTCTCATGCCAAATTGAGTAAAGTTTGTGTCATTCTAAATTATTAGTACTTTATTCTTATTTTATCAAATCAATATATCAGTCACATAAACTCATTTTTTTATAACAGTACCATCTCCTCTTGTCTCGATGTTAGTGGGACGTAGGTAGTAATATACTATCCTCCGTTCTTTAATAGTTGCATCGGTTTGACTTTCACGTTTGCCTATGCACAACTTTTACTATAATTATATTTAATTACGTATTAGTAAACATTATAAAAAGTGAATATTTTGGAAATTCACATTAATAGAAATTTAATAATATTTTATACAAAATAATTTTATTAGTAGAAAGTCATCGTCAAAGTAAGGTGTATGAATGCTGTGTAACTTACAATGTTGCAACTTTTTAAAAATGGAGGAAGCATACACCAATACACTATATATGTACACATAATATATACGAAATATAATATAATATATACACTATTTATGAAATATTAGTCACATTTTAGTATTACTCACATTTGAATATTAGTTGCATTCTAATATTTGTTACATTTTAATAGTTGTTACAATTTAATATTAGCCACATTATCATATTAATTATATTTAAATTTCCCACATTATCATATTGCTTACATTATCATTTTAATATCAGTTGCATTTTTATATTAGTCACATTTTAATATTAGTTGCTTGTTAATATTGCTCACATTTTAATATCAGTCACATTTCAATACTTGTTACATTGTAATATTTATTACATTTTAATAGTTGTTACATTTTAACACCATTGAGAGGGGTAGGAAGTTTGTTGATACGTGTAATATCCAACACAACTGTGCGAATGAGATTGCGATGGGTCATCCTTCTTCGCGGGCGAAAGGTAAATGACACGTTGGGGCAACATTTTCGTTCCAAAGCCGTGATGATTAAGAGGCCAATTATGATGACCGATGACCAAATGACGCAACTCTAGTCACAAAACCAAGGTAGTTTTTTGCCACAATAAAACCTTCCCGAGATTAACGAAGAGATGGAGGAGGACGCTGAGGAGGAGCCGCCGGTGGATGAGGAAGAACAAGTGTAAGGAATAAATGTAATTAGATTTTGATGATGCTATAGGATTAGAAAGTTAGAGTACCCCCAAGTTAGATTTTATGTATTAGATTTTTTAATTGTAAGTATTAGTGTAGTCGACGATCAGAGTTGCTCTATTTTGGATCAGATCAGAAGTGCATCAGAACTGCTCGACCAGACTTCCTCTATGAGAACTGCTCCATCAGAGTTCTCTTACCAGAAGTCCATCAGAGTTGCATCATGAGAGTTGCTGATAAGCCTGGACATCTGATAGCCGATGAGAACTACAGATCAGAAGTACTCATCAGCGGACCTATCAGAGTCAGAGTTCAGTCAGAGATCAGAACTCCATCAGAACTCAACTCATCAGAAAGCCATCAGAATCCAACATATCAGAAGAGCCTGATCAGAGCCCGACGAACACTTAGAAAAATTTCAAGCAACATCCAACAGCTCTGAATTCAACGGGTAAAAACATCCAACGGCTACAAGACTGTGCATGAAAGGAAAGCATTTAATGCACATTAAATGAGCCTGATACGCTGAAGGATTGATTGCAAATGATTGACCAAGGAATCCGGGAAGATATATTATAAAAATAGAAACCTTCCAAAACGGCGGTCAAGTCAACTGTACGCACATTTAATGCAGTTGTCTCCTCCTCCAACGGGCAGACAACCTCAGTATATAAGCTACACACCGAAGAACAGAAAAACAACTTTGCTACAACTTTTGCTCATCATCATTCAAGCTCTCTTGAGATTCAAATTCTAACAACCTTCAACAAGACAAGCTTACATTGGGAAGATTCAAACTCCAAATCTCTCATCCCCAACAAACAAGCAAAGTTCATCCTGTTCTTCAACACTTCAAGAACTTCATCAAACATCCTTTGTAACGAAGCAAGTTGGAGGAAAAACTCTGTTTTTCAAAGGATCTTCTGAAAAGAAGGGCGTCCAAGTAACTGCAGTAGTGAAGTGGTGATACTTCCGGGAAGCTGAGTGAAAGGACCAGCCATCAGGACGTGGAATTGCATCCTGGGTGGCAGCTAGACTTGAAGAAGGCGTGGAGAACTTCTTAAGTGCTAGGAACTAAGCTTTGTAACCGATCTACTTCAAAGCTAGTGGAACAGTGGACTAGAGGAACGAGTTGTTCCTTGAACCACTATAAAATATCCGGTGTCATTTACTTTACTGCAATTTATATTTCGGCACTTAGGATATTAACTGATTAACTCTAAGACTTGGAATCTGTGTTCAGCAGATCTTGTTCTCAGAGTTTTCAGAAAGGCATTTGCCTTAGTATTTCTGAGGCTACCCGGACAGATCAGAATCCGCTGCCAAGGCCAGTTCTGATATCAGAACCAGCCTTTCTCTGTCATCAGAATCAGACCTTCTCTGATAAGTCACTTTTGACTTGGAGAAAATTTGAAAAACCAATCAGTCTATTCACCCCCCCCCTCTAGACTGATTACCATATTTAACGGGACCAACAACAAGGCAGCAGAGATACCCCTAATGAGGAGGAGCAAGGAAGCGGCGCCGGTTCATCCCAACCACCCCAACAATGTCAATCTTCCAAGTTGTATTCTTTTCTATTCGAGTAGAGTTGTGAATTTCGGGGACGAAATTCCTGTTAAGGGGAGGTGAACTTGTGACACCGCACCCGAACGTCCTTGAAAATTCAATTTAAATTTCAAGCTTATGTATTGAATTTCCGAGCAATTGTAAAACGATTAATGTTTACGTAGTGCATGATTGAATATCGTACTGTTCAAACTCGTATATTAGTGTCGGGTTTTGCAAATACTTATTCGGGCCTTATTAATGAACATAAGAGCCCAAAATTCCTAAATAGTGTTACGTGATCTTTCAAGACAAGTCGAGGAAGGTCGGGCGGCCCAAACATTATTTTGGGCCCAACCTGCTAAAAATAGCAAGTATTCGAGAATGGCGTTCTAGACCCACTCGGGAGTGACCCACACGGCTAGTAGCCCTATAACATGTATGACAAATGTCAAATAAGTGATAGAATAATTAAAGAAGAATACAAATGCCTATAACCCCATCTTTGGCATTATTGAGCTAAATAATGGGAGTAGGATTTTCCTGCTATGATATCCATCAAGTAAATTATTGTGATGAACCTACACATATGGGAGATCAATAATGTGATGAAGGAAGTTGACTTGTTCTAAATAAATTAGGATGAGTACAAAAAGACATCTTTGACAAAAGATAAAACTATAGGGCCCATCTTCCCATTTTTGGAAGTATTGATAGATATTTTGGACCCCAAAATGATTGGGATCAATTGGGAACCACTCCACATGATATTAGTACCTACAAGACAAAGAAAAATGGGTGAGACAACTATGTGGGGCGGACTTTTTGACTCATGAGCTACAACATTACAAAAAAGAAATTAAAGAGGAGGTCCACACCATGTTTGATTGCAATCAAATACCCTACTCTTCTTTTTGTGAACCACATGCTCTCTTAGCATGATTGAGGCCTCCTAATACACTCCCCCTACACCCCATTCGAACCCCCAAAGAGATAAGAGAGCAAAGGGAGTCCACACAACTCAAGAGAGAAGGAAGGAAGAGGGCTGTCCGCAGGTAGTTTTTCCAGTGCGTAAGGTTACTTGTTTGCTTCATATCTCGAGTTATACACATCCAAATAAGGCGTGCGAGATACCAGCAGAAAGCTCTCAAGACGAGGAATCCGTGAAGGTCTGGTTTGCATCAATCGGAGTAGTGGAAGGCTTCCAAATCGTCCGATCAAAACACAACCTCGCGGAATACGTTTTTGTATTCAAAGTAAGTTTGAATCCAAAACCTTCCTCTCTATTGTCTAAATCATATAAATGATTGAAGAACTATTATACACTGATTGAAGTGTATAAAATGTTATTATAAAGTGACTTTAATTGTTGGAAAGGTTAGATACTAACCTAAACAAAACCTTGAAAGGTTAGGGAACGAATTCGTCGGGAAACACCCGTTCTAGGGACTGTTTTTGTGTCTTCGGTTAGGAGTTGAACTAGCACTTTGAGGGGTCTGTTTAACACTCAATTCCAAGCAAGGAATCAGTTCTCAAACCTTCTTGGCCGAGGCTTTGGTCGTTGGATCGAGAAGGAAGGTTTTAAAGCTCATTTGAGGTGAGGACCGACATCTAGTTGCTTACAACTTGTAGGTTATGCATGAGATTACCTAAATGCTTAAATCATGTTTTTGTGAATAAATATGCTTGAATATGATATGAATGATAAGTAATGGACTTGATCATGAACTGAAACCATATTGATGAATATGGAGTCATGTGAGATAGAAGTATGCTAATATGGTAAATTGACTTTTCCAACTCATGTATGAATGTTATGTGTATGTAAATGTATAATTGCATGATGATGCTTAACACATGGGAGGCTGCCACATATCTATTGATATGGAGGGGCTACCATTAATGATAAATGAGTTGTAGGAATAATCTTAATAGTATTGTGATGCTAGTTAAGGATTGCCCTAAATGTGTTAGAATCAAACTCAAGGTTTGAGTTTGTTTGTGATGAATTTGAATGAGATTCAAGTGTCAATTGTGAAATCATGGAGTAGGAGATCTATGGTGTGATATTATGAAGTAGGAGATCTATGAGGTGATTTTATGAAGTAGGAGATCTATGGTGTGATTACATGAAGTAGGAGATCTATGATGCGAGTGCATGATGATGTACTCGAGCCGAACTCTAGAAATGAGAAGTTATATTAGGGTTGGACCCTATGTATGTCGTGACCATTAGTCACGGGGTTGGGAAATGTTTTGTGATAAACATGGGCCTTTGAGCCGACTACTTGACTTTATATAAAGTAAGTATATATTTTGAAGGGGAAATTTGGGATTACTGCCTAAACTATATTATCACCCTATTTGAGGGTCTTGTGTGTGAAATACTTGTTGTATATCTATTAGATGTCTGCCACACCAGTACTTTATAGCCGTATAGAGTACTGACCCCTTCGGGGGCGTCCCACCACCATTTCAGGTTGAGGCTAGAGCTTGCATCCTGTGCTCGTTGATCGAGTGATTCCTAGGAGAGAAGACTTGGTTCGTGCTTCCTCCATTCCATTTGAAACATTAATAAATTTGCTCATGGATATTTTACTATAGAGCCTGCGTGCTCATGAAATGCCTTGTGTGGCCTTTGTGACACCGCTCCCGAAGGTCCTTGAAAATTTGATTTAAAATTCAAAGTTTATGTATTGGATTTCTGATTCCCAAACATTTGTTAAACGATTAATGTTTTACGTAATTAATGACCGATTATTACACTGTTCGAACTCGTATATTAGTATCGGGCTTGCGAATACTCATTTTGGGCCCAACCTGCTAAAAATAGCAAGTATTCGAGAATGGCGTTCTGGATCCACTCGGGGGTGACCCACACGGCTAGTAGCCCAATAATATGTATGACAAATGTCAAATAAGTGATAGGATGATTAAAGAAGAATACAAATGCCTATAACCCCACCTTTGGCCTTATTGAGCTAAATAATGGGAGTAGGATTTTCCTCCTATAATATCTATCAAGTAAATTATTGGGATGAGCCTACACATATTGGAGATCAATAATGTGATTTGAGAAGTTGACTTGTTCTAAATAAATTAGGATGAGTACAAAAAGACATCTTTTGACAAAGATAAAACAATAGGACCCATTTTCCCCATTTTTGGAAGTATTGGTAGATAATTTGGATCCCAAAATGATTGGGATCAATTGGGAACCACTCCACATGATATTAGTACCTGCAAGACAAATAAAAATGGGTTAGGAGACTTACCTTGGCCGGCCATTATGGAGAAGAGCTGCACATGACTTGATAAGAATCAAAGTTTGGGGCCACCACTCTTATTTTCGCACAAATTGGTGTGCTGTTTGTCTCCTCTCATTATAGGAGCTATCCTCAACCAAATAACGTGTATGAGGTGTACTTGGATAGCTTTTGAAGTCTATTTTTATAATTGAGTGGTCTCAGTTCGAGAGGAGAGAGTAATCATCCAAAAATCGATCTGGAACGAGCAGTGGTCTGTGAACTCGAGCTGTGAGAGTGCTGAGACTGTTTGGTTGATATCTCGAGTTTTACCAATCCAATTAAGGCGTGTGAGATACCAAAAGAAAGCTCTCAAGACGAGGAATCCGTGAAGGTCTGGTTTGCATCAATCGGAGTAGAGGAAGGCTTCCAAATCGTCCGATCAGAACGCGACCTCGCAGGGACGGATTTACTCTTCTAAGTGAGTTTTTAATCCCAAAACCTTTCCATTCATTTTCCAAATGATATGAACGATTGGTGGAACTATTGTATACACTAATAAAAGTGCATAATATGTCCCCATAAAGTTATTTTATTGATGTAAAGGTTAGATACTAATCTAGAGCAAATCTTGGAAAACTAGGAAACGAGTTAACCGGAAAACACCCGTTCTAGGGGCTGTTTTCGTATCAACGATTAAGGGTTGAACTAGCACTTGGAGGAGGCTGTTTAACACTCATATTTGAGCAAGGAATCGGTTCCAAATCCACCTTGACCAAAGCTTTGACCATTGGACCAAGAAGGGAAAGTTTAAAGCTCAATTGAGGTGAGGATTGACATCTAATTGCTTACAACTTGTAGGTTAAGCATGAGATTACCTAAATGCTTAAATCATTATTTTTCATGGATTATGATGATTATATATTTCTGAAATATTGATATAGTTGCCAAAGAATGAAATTTGAAATGATTTGAGAACGTATGGATAATATGAGATTAAATGAGTATCAATGAACTATTTTTGCGAAATAGGTATTTTGCTCATGTACGAATTATTTAGATACATAAATGAATATTTGTGTATTGAGATTGAATACTTAAGTTGCTGCTACATAATTATAATTATGTAGAGTATTACAAGTAAAGAGGATAGTGGTATGATAACAATAATCTTAATAGTATTGAAATACTAGTTAGTGATTATTGGAACTTGTTGATTTAATTGATCCTAGGGATTGGATTGTATGAAAGGTACTTGAATATAGTTCAAGTGTATCTAATAACTTAGTATGGAACTAAGGTTAAGTTATGGGAAGTCTTTAAGGATGACCCATGGTAGTTTAATGATATGTCAATTCTAGGCATAGGGTTGCTTGAGAATTGGGCCTTAATGCATGGTGATGTGGTAGAGCCGAGCTCTAGAATGCATGTAAGGTGTAGACTTGTAGTCTATGTATTGTATAGCTAGAGCCGAGCTCTAGGACTTGCGTGGTGATGTGGTAGAGCCGAGCTCTAGAACGCAAGGTAAGGAAATTGACCCGAGGTATATGAATTGTATGGTGATGTGGTAGAGCCGAGCTCTAGAATACAATGTCATGTACTAGGGTTGGACTCTAGGAGTTGTCGTGGCTTATAGCCACGGGGTTGGGAATGGTGATTTCCAAATGAAAACGGGCCCACGGGCCGACTACTTGACTTTTATATAAAGTAAGTATATATTTAAACGGGGTAACTTAGGGTTACAACCATGATGTACTATCACCCTATTTGAGGGTCTTGTGTTTGAAATACTTGTTGTATATCTATTAGATGCCTGCCACACCAGTACTTTATAGCCGTATAGAGTACTGACCCCTTCGGGGGCGTCCCACCACCATTTCAGGTTGAGGCTAGAGCTTGCTTCCTGTGCTCGTTGCCCGAGTGATTTCCCCGGAGAGAAGACTTGGTTCGTGCTTCCTCCATTCTGTTTTAGAACATTAATAAACATGCTCATGGATATTTTACTTTAGAGCCTGCGTGCTCATGTTTGCCCTGTGTGGCCCTTTTGTTTTAAACAATGTTTTCCGCTGCGTATTGAATTGCTTATTATGTATGTTTATGGATGACTTATGTGTGAATGATATTCATGACGCGTTGTATAATATGAATGTGTTGGACTGCGGTTGACTATTCGTATTGTACGGCGGGTTGTTGACGTGTCCGGAGAGGTCCGGGGCGTGACAATTAAGTTGGTATCAGAGCCTTAGTCCATAAACTTCATAATGAAGTCTCAAAATTCTCTTTTTGAAAAGATTTTGAAAACCATGAGCATAGAAGTTTTGTACTTGGAGAGCTTTTGGTACTTGGGTTGCAAGGTCTCTAATTGTTAAGATGGTACCCTTAGCAATTGGTATGGCGGTGACTCGAGCCAAAATGTGTCTTAAGTACCTATCCGTCAATTGACATTTGATACGAGTCTAACGACTCTTTCCAAATTTCTTTCAGAAATGGACCGTGGTGGCAGGATTACTAGGAGAAACCCGACGGGCCGTGTACCAGTGGAGACTGGACAGGGCAGTCGAAGGACCTCTAGGGCATCTAGAGGAGCTGGCCGTGGAGGCCGATCGCAGACCGTGAGTGACGGTCATGTCGACACAGAGAGTGAAACCTACTGGTCCTATGAGGACTCGACTTACCAACCGGAAACCGAGCCGGTCGAGACCCCTTATGAAGGGGATGATGACGATATAAGTGATGAGGAGGAAAATGGCTCCTTGGCACGGATTGAGGCGCTACTCCAACAGTATCACCGTGAGCGTGAAGAGAGGAGGCAACGCCGAAGACGCCGAGCGGGGCAACCTTCGGGCATGGCTTCAAGAGGAGGAAGTCATGGTGCATCTAGAGTCCATGTGGAACCACATGGAGGCCAAAATGATGGAGGTCCAACCATAAGGATCTCCAAATTTATCAAAGAAGCAAGGGACTTGGGGTGCAAACCCTTTGATGGGGCAGGGGACATTTCAGTTGCAGCACAATGGATCAAGAGGCTAAATGAAGCAGCCCTTGACATGCAAATCGCGCCGAATCTCAAACTGAGAATTGCGGTAAGATTGCTCGAGGGGATGGCATCCAAGTGGTGGGATGGAACCAAGAGCAAGTACGGTGAGACCGTCGTTTGGGAGGACTTCCAACGGGAGTTCTTGTAAGGAATAAATGTAATTAGATTTTGATGATGCTATAGGATTAGAATTTTAAAGTACCCCCAAATTAGATTTTATGTATTAGAATTTTCAATTGTAAGTATTAGTATAGTCGACGATCAGAGTTGCTCTATTTTGGATCAGATCAGAAGTGCATCAGAACTGCTCGACCAGACTTGCTCTATGAGAACTGCTCCATCAGAGTTCTCTTAGCAGAAGTCCATCAGAGTTGCATCATGAGAGTTGCTGATAAACTTGGACATCTGATAACCGATGAGGACTACAGATCAAAGGTACTCATCAGCGGACATATCAGAGTCAGAGTTAGAGCTCTATCCGAGATCAGAAAGCCATCAGAATCCAACACATCAGAAGAGCCTGATCAGAGCCCAACTAACACTTAGAAGATTTCAAGCAACATCCAACAGCTATGAGTTCAACGGGTAAAAACATCCAACGGCTAGAAGACTGTGCATGAAAGGAAAGCATTTAATGCACATTAAATGAGCCTGATACGCTGAAGGATTGATTGCAAATGATTGACCAAAGAATCCGGGAAGATATATTATAAAAATAGAAACCTTCCAAAACGGCGGTCAAGTCAACTGTACGCGCATTTAATGCAGTTGTCTCCTCCTCCAACGGGCAGACAACCCCAGTATATAAGCTACTCACCAAAGAACAGGGATACAACTTTGCTACAACTTTTGCTCATAAAACTTTCAAGCTCTCTTGAGATTCAAACTCCACAACACAAAAACAAGAAAAAGCTTACGTTGGGAAGATTCAATCTCACAATCTCTCATCCCCAACAAGAGCAAAGTTCATCCTGCTCTTCAACTCTTCAAGAACTTCATCAAACATCATTTGTGACGAAGCAAGTTGGAGGAAAAACTTTGTTTTTCAAAGGATCTTCTGAAAAGAAGGGCGTCCAAGTAACTGCAGTAGTGAAGTGGTGATACTTCCGGGAAGCTGAGTGAAAGGATCAGCCATCAGGACGTGGAATTGCATCCTGGGTGGCATCTAGGCTTGAAGAAGACGAGGAGTGCTTCTTAAGTGCTAGGAATTAGCTTTGTAACTGATCTACTTCAAAGCTAGTGGAACAGTGGACTAGAGGAACAAGTTGTTCCTTGAACCACTATAAAATATCCGGTGTCATTTACTTTATTGCAATTTTCATTTCTGCACTTAGGATATTAACTGATTAACTCTAAGACTTGGAATCTGTGTTCAGCAGATCTTGTCTTAAGAGTTATCAGAAAGGCATTTGCCTTAGTGTTTCTGAGGCTACCCGGACAGATCAGAATCCGCTGCCAAGGCCAGTTCTGATATCAGAACCAGCCTATCTCTGTCATCAGAATCAGACCTTCTCTGATAAGTCAATTTGGACTTAGAGAAAATTTGAAAAACCAACCAGTCTATTCACCCCCCCCCCCCCCTCTAGACTGGTTACCATATTAAACGGGACCAACAAGTGGTATCAGAGCCTCCTTGTTCTTGTAATCTTTTAGGTTACTCTCTGAACAAAGATCCACTTGTTCTTAGCCTCTATTTAGTTGTTATTATGGATAACTCTCTTGCAAAGCATCTAATGTTCACAGATCAGAAATATGATGATTGGAAGATCAGAATGAAGGCACATCTGTGTGCTCTTCATGATGAAATGTGGGAAGTCTTGGAGAATGGACCCTTCATCCAGTTCATGAAGATCAATCCTGCTCACTCCATTGATAACTCTCAGCCCCAGATGATTGAGAAAGCCCGGTCAGAATGGACCAAGGAAGAGAAGAGGCAGTACAATCTAGATAATATAGCCAAGGACATCCTTTACAAGGCTATTGATGAAAGATACTTCAACAGAATCAAGAAGTGCAAAACTGCCAAAGAAATCTGGGACAAGTTAGATGAGATTGGAGCAGGAGATGAGCAAGAAAGAGATAACAAGTTGACCATAGCAATGAAGAAGTTTGATGACTTCAAACTTCTGCCAGAAGAATGCATTGCTAAGATGCATGAGAGACTGCTGATTCTCATTAGTGAGATTTCTGAGCTTGGAAAGGAGCTCACTATCAAAGAAGTCAACATGAAGATCCTGAGGGGACTGCCTTCAGCTTGGAAGATGAAGGTGATTGCTGTCCAAGAAAGCAAGAACATCAGGACCTATGCCACTGAGAAACTCATTTCTGATCTCAAAGCTTATGAGTTTGAGATGCATGAAGAGAAGGAGGAAGCTCCTGATGAAAGGACCACCACCGCTCTCACTGCCAGCACCTCAAAGGTAAGTGACTTTGACCCTTCTACTCTTTTATCTGATGAGTATATGGCTGCCTTTGCCAGAAAATTTAAGAAGTTTATGAAGAAAGATGGAAGGAGTCCATCTTCCATCAGAAGACCTCATCAGAAGACCAAACCTTCTGAAAGCAATGGAGAGTACCTCTGCTACAACTGCAGACAGCCTGGGCACTTCAAAGCAAACTGCCCCTATCCAAGAGTGTCCAAGAAACAAGGACATGAAGAAGAAAAGAAGCCTGAAGATCAACACAGAAGAAGAAGAGCATTCGTCTCAGAGCAAGCTGAGAGAGATCCACTCTCTGAATCAGAGTCCAGTTCAGACTCTGACTCTGATGAAGCTTTCTGCTGCTTGGATGCAGAAACTGAAGACCTTTGCCTCATGGCACAATCTGATGATGAGGTATGCTCCACTTCTGACTCTATTTCTTCTTCGGTAGGCACAGCCTTAAATGATGATCCAATGTCATCATTTTGGGAAGAGTTCCAAACTATCCAAGCCACTTATTCTTCTGTTAAAGATGAGAACAGTAGGCTGAAAGTTGATATCTCTGATCTAAGGAAAGAGACTGAGTGCAAACTTAATCTCTTAACTGAGGAAAGAGATAGACTGAAGGCTGAAAATGAGTCTCTTCTTAAAAGAATAAGAGACATTGAAGGACTTGAGAGTAAATATAATAGTCTTCTGAAGATGCAATCTTCCATGAAGAATATTGGAGACTCTCATAACTTTACCTCTGGTCTTGGATATGTTGAACCAGAGTCTGGTGAACCTTCTGTAAGGCCTAGCACCAAAGTTGCTAAGGCTAAAAAGGTCATAGTGCCACAGACTCTGAGCCCCATTTGCCATGCTAGTACTTCTGGTACTAAAGTTGTTCATGAGAAGGTCACACCAGAGAAACAAACTCTAAAGGCCAAACCAAAACACAGTTTGAGAACTAATGAACCTGGCAGAAACTCAAACAAAAGGAAGAGTTTTCAGAAAAATAATAATCAAAGGCCTAATCCAATCAGACAATCTCATGACAATGGTATCAGAAACTGCTATCAGAAAGGCAGATATCAAGAAAAGACTAACTATAGGCAGAAGAGGTTGTCTGGTCAACCTCAGAAGCCTAAAGTTAAGCGCTCCTCTAATCTTGATAGCATATGGGACTTCTCTCCAACAAAGAAGGCTATGCAGAAGTATGCAAACAGAAAGCATGATCCTCACAAGCATCTGCCCAAAGTGAATCATACATCTGTTTACTACAACTACCAGGTGGACAATGGGTATCATCCACCAAGGTTTCAGTTGATGAGACCAAAATGGTACCAACTACCAAGACTGCTTTACCCCCCAGGACCCAACATTGCTTGGGTACCTAAATCTTCCTTTTAATCTTGCAGGAACTATGTGCTGGAGCCATCTCAGAACAAGAATGGTATATTGACAGTGGATGCTCCAGGCACATGACAGGTGACAAGAGTTGCCTATCAGAGTTCCAGAAAATCAATGGACCCAGAGTCACTTTCGGTGGAAACGACAAGGAAGGACAAACAAAAGGAAGAGGGAAGCTAATCAAGAACCAGATAATCATTGAAGATGTCTCTTATGTCAAAGGTCTGAAGTTCAACTTGCTGAGTGCTAGCCAGTTCTGTGACAAAGGCTACACAGTTGAATTCACCAAGACCTTATGCTATGTCAAGCATGAGACAACCAAAGAAGTGGTTCTCACAGCCAAAAGAAGGAAGAACATCTATGTTGTTGACTGGCAAACAGCAAAAGATGGAACCTGTCTGATAGCAAAGGACAATTCAAAGCTAAGCTGGGATTGGCACAAGAAGCTTAGCCACCTGAATTTCAAAACCATCAACAAACTGGCAAGGGAACACATTGTAGATGGTCTGCCTGACATTGTCTACAAGAAGGAGACCCTCTGCAGTGCTTGTCAGAAAGGCAAACAAGTGAAGACCTCATTCAAACCCATAGCTGGAGATCTTTCTACTTGTCCTTTAAATCTGATTCACATGGACTGTGTTCCTAACCAAGAAAAATGAAACCCTTCAGAAGTTGCCATCTCTGTTAAAGCAACTTCAAACTGAGAAGAATATGAAGGTCAGAACAATCAGATCTGACAGAGGAACTGAATTTGTCAACAAAGTGATCAAGGACTTCTGTGATCAGAATGGCACCTTTCATCAACTTTCTGCTGCCAGAACACCCCAACAAAATGGTGTTGCAGAAAGAAGGAACAGAACACTGAAAGAAGCTGCAAGAACTATGATTGCAGAATCAGGGTTGCCCATAAGATACTGGGCTGAAGCAATCAACACTGCATGCTACACTCAGAACAGGAGCATGATCCACAAGAATCATCAGAAAAACCCCCTACGAGCTGTGGAAAGGAAGAAAGCCAAACATCAGCTACTTCCATGTGTTTGGATGCAAGTGCTACATTCTAAACAATGGAAAGGATAATCTGAAAGTATTTCAAGATAAAGCTGATGAAGGTGTATTCTTAGGCTATTCAAGCTCAAGCAAAGCCTATAGAGTACTCAACAGGAGAACTATACAAGTTGAAGAATCCATTCATGTCAAGTTTGATGACAGCACCTCTGCAGAAGAACTATCAGAGACCCTGCAGAAGATCAATCTTGAAGATAAGGCTTCAGAACCATCAGAAGAGGCCATCAACAATCCTATATTCTCAACTCCTCCTGCCAATCCAATTCTGATAGACAAAGATGAAGATGAAGAATCAGAAGATGAACCATCAGAGTTGCCTAGACAGCAACTGACAGAACCTGATCTAACTTGGTTAAGAGATCATCCTCCTAATCAAGTAATTGGTCAAGTCACCAGTGGTGTTAGGACCAGATCTGCATCAAGAAGAGAAGCCATGTTCACCTGCTGCATATCTCAAATGGAACCAATGTGTGTGGAAGAAGCTCTAGAAGATTCAGATTGGATCAATGCAATGCAAGAAGAGCTGACACAGTTTGAAAGGAATGAAGTATGGAAACTTGTTCCCAGACCAAAGCATCAGAATGTCATTGGAACCAAGTGGGTATTCAAGAACAAAGCAGATGAAGAAGGCAACATTGTAAGGAATAAAGCAAGGCTTGTAGCAAAGGGATACTGTCAAGAAGAAGGCATAGATTTTGATGAGACCTTTGCACCTGTTGCCAGATTGGAAGCAATCAGGATATTTCTAGCCTATGCTGCTTACAACGACATCAAGGTCTACCAGATGGATGTCAAGAGTGCATTTCTGAATGGAGAACTTGAAGAGGAAGTCTATGTTGAACAACCTCCAGGTTTTGTCATTCCTACTCAATCTTCGTGTGTCTACAAGCTTAGAAAGGCCCTTTATGGTCTTAAACAAGCTCCCAGAGCTTGGTATGACACATTGTCCCTATTTTTGGTGAACCATGGGTTTACTAAAGGAAAGGTTGACAAGACTCTTTTTCAAATTTCTGTTGCTAATCATATTCTGTTAGTGCAAATTTATGTTGATGACATTATATTTGGAAGCACTAATCCAGAATTATGCAAGAAATTCTCTCAAGTCATGCAGAACAAGTTTGAAATGAGCATGATGGGAGAACTCAGTTACTTTCTTGGATTACAAGTCAAGCAAGTACCAGAAGGCATCTTTATCAACCAAGGAAAGTACACCAGAGATCTCATCAAGAAGTTTGGAGTAGATGGAAAATCTTCAGTCAAAATTCCTATGAATGCATCTCAAGGAATTGGACCAGACGATGAAGGGAAGGATGTTGATGCAACAACTTATAGAGGAATCATTGGATCTCTCCTCTATCTGACTGCAAGCAGACCAGACATAGCTTTTGCAGTAGGAATCTGTGCCAGATACCAATCAATGCCC